TGAATAGCTCCAATTTTCACCAAGACCAAAGTATTTCCGGATAGCTTCCAGCTAAAACAAAACTGTGCTGCTTCTAAACAAGGATATCTTAAGGAACTTTACTAGGATTAATCATCAAATGCAGACGCTAACAAAATGTCGAAATCATGTTGAAAATTAGAACAGTAGAAACCTGAACATGTGATCAAAACATCCAATTTGACTCTGCGTATAAACATCTGAAAGGTGAACCTGACTAGCGGCAAGATATTAACAAAACACCAACGGCACCAATATGAGTATGCAACAAAACAAATCGCGGGAAATGTGGTCCGCTCTAGACTGAAATCCATTCAAAAAGGGGAACATGACTAGTACAAAGTGGGATATCTTAATCAAACTGAGAATTAGAACAGCATTCAACCAAACGAAACTCTTTTGAGTGAGAAGAACATATGAAAGAATTCAATGACAATGAAATTCCTTCAGAATAAAAGGATTACATCTAGCGAGTATCAATCACAGAAAAACCGGTACATTTCAAACACATATTCATTGGTCTATTTCGTTGATGGTTAGCCTTGGATATCGTCCAAGGAAATAGTGTCTTTTGCATCAGGGATCGTGTTCCACGTCTTGATAGATTCACAACACAACTTGTGAATTGGCCAGTCCAACTTTTGGCAGTCAACACAGCAATAGCATAACTGGAAACAGGATTCTAGTAGAACTCTCGTACTGTACCCTCAATAAACAAGTGGCAAACCTTGCACTTCGGACAACGCTTCTTAGCTGTGAATGCTCCACACGTCCCACAAAACTTGCTGACCATTACTAATCGCTGACCAAACAGACCTTGCACGATGTATTCAAAAGCAGTGGGCCTTTCACCAAAAGGCGTTTTGGACATGGCCTAAAATTTGATCTACGTCATCTAAGGAAAGGAGAATAAATTCCCTAATAATGCTTGATATACTGTTCCTCTGAAAAGCACCTCGAAGTTATCGCTCTAGAGACAGAGGACAATCCCCCCTCTGTACCATTATGCGCCTGTGATCATAACAAATATAAGGACATCTCTTAGGAAATTTGTTGTGACGAGTACGCCCGCCCTCGTTGCTTCACAACCGATTAGGAAGATTCATCTAAAAACCCCCTCCTCTTTCCAGCACGATACGGCGTTGTTCACCCAAGAGAAGTGAAGGTAAAAGTGCTAATCGTAATGACCACTAGTGATAAACTTTTACGGTACTGTAAATTAGAATGAAGCTTCGACTTGGCAACTGGTGAACTGGTGAATGCGCTTAAGGTTTGGTACCCTATAGAAACCCAGATAAGCGAGCTCCATTGGAGAGTTCGTTGGTAGGTGCATTGGAAGAATTCTCTGTGCAAATAGACTTCACCATAACGCGAGACTCCTTTTATCCAACGAAATCGAGTCAACCATCCTTGCTATTTGCAAAGACCTTCATTTGTAATACAGTGATCCTAACATTGGACAAGGAGCACTTTGAGTCCCCCTTTCTAGCGCATTCGCATCCTCAGTTCACCTCATCGCATCCAAAACTGGCAGAATGGTGGCGAAACTCATTACTAACCTTAACCAGTGTCGCA